TTTTGAATGTTCTGTAGTTTTCAAAATATTTTCACTCAGGGATATAGCATCTGACATGAAAGCAGGATCATCTGGGGTGACTTCAGAACCTTTGATCTCCAAAGCCATCCATGAAAGCAGGGAATCAGGGGCTTTGGCTATAGGAGGGTGAGGCCCCATCTTAGGAGGTAGCTTTTGCTACCACTGGGAAAAAGGTTATTTTTTTTCTAGGGTTCCACAAGGTCGAAGATTCCAGTGCCTGTTCACAGGGATGGATGAAGGGGTTTTGAAAGTCCCTGGGTTAGGAAGGTGTCAGGGCCAGGCAGCTGGTGGGTAAGCACATGACTCTAAGTACTGAAGACAGGCTCCTTGTCCCTTCCAAGTCTAGGATCTCCATTGATAAGCCCTGAAACCTCCTAAAAATTTAGGAGGTAGGAATCAGAAAACATGGCTGGCTTCAGAACTCTCTGGATCAGAGCCAAATCTGATGTGATTTACAGAAACAATGAAACAAAGCATTTCTAAATTTACAAGGATACCTATAAGGACGGCTTCCTGGAAAACAGCTGAGTCTGACTTATGTTTCTTTTTCTTCTGATATTTGGGGTTGTATGTTGTGCCTCCAAAAGGAGACCAGACTTTTGTCACAACAATCTTGGTTAAGGCTTCCCAGCAGTGGAGTGCTTGCATAGGAAGTGGAAGGCTCTGGCTCAATCCCCAGTACTGCAAACAAATAAACAGACAGCCTGTCTAGTCCTGAAGATCTGGGCAGGAACAGGGATCTACTTGATGGGTATGCTTGTGATGTGGTAACAGCAGGGCTCAGAAGACCCCAGGTCCTTGTCTTGGGAGTGAACAAGAACAGAGCAAGAGAAGGAGTGAAGGTGTGGCTCAAGTGGTAGACCACCTGCTTTGCAAGTGCAAAGCTCTGAGTTCAAACTCCAGTTCATCCCCAAAAGAAAATAAATAAGAAAGAGAGAAAGAGAGAAAGAGAGAAAGAGAGAGAGAAAGAGAGAGAGAAAGAAAGAAAGAAAGAAAGAAAGAAAGAAAGAAAGAAAGAAAGAAAGAAAGAAAGAAAGAAAGAAAAAGGAAGGAAGAAAGGAAGACTGGGAAGGGCAGTCTTATATGCTGTTACCTGAGGGAGGGAATCAAGGTCTTACAAGATCTACTTCCTGTTTTAGCTGGTGAGTTGTCGGAGGGAGCCATTGTGTCATTTCCTGTGTGCTGCTTCCTGTTTCCCATGGGGAGTCAAACTTGGACCCCTGGGTCTGAAATCATCTTTCATCCTATCCAGTCAGGACTCATAAGAGCCAAATATGGCCATGAAACAATCAATTATATGGATTCATTTGGATGTAATCATGGTTATGCCTTTATTGGAATTAATGTATGTTTCCCTGTTTTTCTGTCTGGGTTCAAATCCTGGGTCTTTTACTTGACCTGTGACCCTGGACAGGTTAACTTGATCTCTGTGATTTAGTCTCCTCCTTTGTATAGTGGCGTTTAGAATTGCGTTTTCCTCATTGGATTCTCATTTATCTCATTGGATCAAATTAATAAGGGAAAGAATAGCTGACACATAGCACGTGCTCTTTAAGTTGCAATCATTGTTAGTCTGTCATTATCTTAGTAGTGACAGAATTTAGAGAGTTTGAAAAAAGTTATTTTTTTCTGTCCTTTGTGGTAGATCTATTAATAGAATAACTTCACTGACACATTCTGGATTGTGACTCAAGTAGAGACTGACAGAAGAGCACGTTTTTTTGTAGAAGACTTTCTCTTTTTTATCAATTCAGATTTATCCATTTTTATTTCCTTATTTATTTTTTGGTGGTCCTGAAAGAACAGACTAGGTAGTTAGCTGACTGACATCAGGCAGGTGTAGTTAGGACCAAGGACCCTTATGAAACTTTCATTATAGCCTGTGCTGCCAACAAATGGGAGAGATGACACCATTCCTCTTAACAATCCACTTCCTTCCCCCACAACTCAGGTGGGTGGGAAAGAAGGAAGGACCTAAATGAGAACAGGTGAGGCCATGGTCTGACCTGAAGGTTTCAGCCTTCCAGCCAACCAAAACGCTGCCTTCCGCACACCTAATTATCACAGAAAATGGGCTACTCCCAGGAGCAAACAGGTTAAAAACCCTCAGACTCAAAGTTCACTGGTATCTGGCTTGGGACCCCTCCCGTCCCCACCTCACATGAGATCTCTGTCCTTTCTCGTTCTATTTTGGAGGTACTGGGGTTTGAACTCAGGGCCTCATGCTTGCTAGGCAGGTGCTCTACCACTTGAGCCACTCTGCCAGCCCTTTTTTGTGAACTTTTTTTGGGATAGGGTCTTTCAAACGATTTCCCCAGGCTGGCTTTGAACCTTGATCCTCTGATCTCTGCCTCCTGAGTAGCTAGAATTATAGGCATGAGCCACCAGCACCAGGCTTCTGTTCTTTCTCTGAATAAGCTTCCTGACTACACTCTCACCCTCCATGGTCCAAGAATCACATTCATTGCACTCACGAGACAAAGAACTCACTGTGAATCAGGAACTTTCGGCAGCTGAGCTAACAGAGCTGTGACCCAAGCCAGTGTGGCATGCCCTGATTTCACAAAAAGACTTCAGTTTCAGTACTGGGGTTTGAACTCAGGACTTCCCACTTGCTAGCCAGGCTCTCTACCACTTGAGTCACGCCTCCAGTCCTTTTGCTTTGGTTATTTTGAAAACAGGGTCTTATTTTTGGTCCAGGTTGGTCTGTAACTATGATCCTCCCACTCTCACTGTGTACCTTGGGGTGACAGACATGTGCCCTTGTGCCAGCTGTTGGTTAAGGTGGGGTCTCAAACTATTTGTCCAGGTTGGCCTTGAACCATGATCCTCCCAATCCAGGTAGTTAGGATTACAGGTGTGAGCCACTGGCACCTGGCTCACATTTTTATATTTGAAAGGGCAGACTAAAGTTGCTTTTTTGGGGATGGGGATGCGACCCTGTTACAGTTCTTGCCTAGTATGTGTGAGGCCCTGGGTTCAATCCCCAACATTGCAAAAAAACAATTCCTTGTTTTATCATAAATAAGTGATGACTTTTCCAATCTCAATGCCTAGACTAACTGGAATAGCAAGCTGGGCACCCAGGGCTCACATTTATAATTCTAGCTAATCAGGAGGCTGTGATCAGGAGGATTGTAGTTCGAAGCTGGCCCCAGCAAATAGCTCACAAGACCCTATCTTGGAAATACCCAACACAAAAAAACAGGGCTGGTTGGAGCGGCTCAAGTGGTAGAGTGCCTGCCTAGCAGCATGAGGCCCTGAGTTCAAACCCTGGTGCCACATACACAAATGGAACGGCAGATCCCCACCTTCTTGGTTTCTCTATGGTCAGATAAAGGTCAAGATGTGTCACCTGTTCCCTGGTCCAGAGGTAGCACAAAACAGAAGAGAAATACACATGTGTACAACTGTTCCCTCTGTTTTTTGCTGTGGCTAGGAGGTGTGAGCAAGTTCATGGACAGAGCAGGTTACTGAGTATGAACGAATCCTACAGGAACCTGAGAGGGCTGCTCAGCTCATTGCCATGTTCCCAGAGGAGCCTCTGCCTGCCAGCAGCAGGAAGCGGCTGGGCTTCTTGTCCCCATTGTGGAGGCAGCAGGAGGAAACAGACCTTGGGCTTTGCTGGTCAGAGGCTCTGGGCTGCAGCCTGCCTGACCTTCCCTTTGACACTGTCCTTCTGTCCCTTGACCCTTGTCCAGGAGCCTCCCTGTGCTGGGCCAGTGTCTCATGAGTCTATGCCAACAAGCCTCGCCAACTGACCACTGTGGCCCTTCCCTGCAAACAGTGACAGCTATGTTGAGGCCCAGCCCTTCCACAGAGGTGGTGCTTCTTTCCATGCTCAGAACCAGAGGTTGAGGATAGAGGCTTGAGCAGGATGCGTGTGAGAGGTGGAGCAAGGACGTGAGTCCATGTGCACACGAGGGTGGGCCAAGCGTCCCTGGCTGATGGTGTGTGTGTGTGTGTTTGTGTGTGCGTTCATTAGTCAGCTTGCTGACCATGTGACTCCGAGCACAGCCAGGAAGGACTCAGTGTTCTCAAAGCAGTCGGGCCCACTTGGTCCTCCTAGCAGCTGCTTCTGCTGAAGGAGCTGTCTAGTACCTGCAGTGATGGCAGCTGGAAGTGGCACCCCAGAAAAGAAGCCAGCGAATCCCGCTGAGGCCCCTAGGGTGAGCAGCTCTACTAACTGGGCTTCTTGCCAACCGATGCCTAGAAGGCTGAGCTGCCAGGCACGCTTCGCTTTCATTTTTTTCTTCTCACTTTTGTCTTCTCACCAGCCAGGACCTATTGCTCACGGAAAGAAAACAATATTGTCCTTATTTTGTGAGTTATGGTGACTGTCTTTTCCCTAAGGACGTCCCTTCCCTCCTGCCCTGCCTTTGAATTTAAGTGGGGATGCAGTGATTGTCTTTTCTGAAGGAAGCTCAAGCATCTTTTGCCCAGGTGCCAGCCCAGCTGCTCTCTGAGTTTCCCATCATGCCCTAGCAGTGGTCACTGCTTGAATGCTGGGCTCAGCAGGGCTCAGCTCGTCAGCACGGCTGCATGACCTTGAACCTTGCATCCACCGGCTTAGGCTGAGACTGCCAGCACCTTAGTGCACAGAACAGCCTGGAAAAAAACTATGCCGTTTACTTCCAAAAACAACCACATCCAAAGGGTCTTTTCCGTACCCCAAGCAAATCCCACTGGCCAAACTCCCAAGTCACGTTTTATTGATCTGTTATTAACTCACCCACATAAATACATATAATAAATACAAAAAGAGCAAGCGTGGTTGTAAGTCTTTGGTATACACAGCTTTCTCCTCCTCTCATTGCCCTCCTTCCCTGTGTCTGTGCACATCTCACGCTCACATTATTTCCTTGGATACACAAACAGTGCAGAAGTAAACTGTGTGCTGAGCCCCTGCATCAGTCAGTGGTCTCCCAGGGGCCCAGCAGCCCTGATGGTGGCCTGGGGAGGGACAGGCCATGGAGGACTCACACATAGTCGTTCAGCCTGTACCCGCTGTATGAGGCTGAGGTCACCGAGGGAGCCCTGTTGTCCTTGTAGGCAGCTGGTGGGTGGTAAGCAGGTGCAGAAGTGGCCATGGCAGCCCTGGGATGGGCTTGGTAGGGCCTGTAGGGGGCCTCATCCTGGCAGGACAGGCAGAGCAGAGTGCCACCGATGAGCGACAGGGACGAGGAGATGAAACCCAGGTACAGGGCCTGGCCGATCTCAAACTTCATGCCACTGGGCAGCAGTGGGTTGTAGAAGTTCTGCACCACGTCGTTGGTGGTCCAGGACACGGCCACCATGCAGAACAGGCCAGCCAGCAGGAAGAGCGCACCCCCGAGCACAGCGAAGGTGGTCTTGGCCGGTGTGCCCTTGGCACAGCGTGTGCATTTCATGCCCACCACGGCACAGGCACAGGCCATGCCAGACAGTAGGCAGGAGATGACCATGAGCGCTCGGGACGCCTGCAGGTCACGAGGCAGGGCCAGCAGTGAGCGGTAGATCTGGCACTGGTAGATGCCCGTGCTGTGCCACACGCACTCCATCCAGAGCCCTTTCAGGTAGGACACAGCAGTCAGGATGTTGGTGCCCACGTGGGCGGTCCTCCGCCAGTGCGGCAGGATGGTGGTGATGAGTGTGCCCACCATGCCCAGGAAGCTGAGCAGGAAGCCCAGGAGCTGGACGGCTGTGCTGGCCATGGCTGAGGGCACCCGCTAGCCCCACCCGGCAGTACCCTGGTCCCCCGGATCACGCAGCTCCCCAGGCACCTGCAGGAGTCCTAATAAAGCCGAGGGGGGAAGGAGGAGGGAGAGAAAGTAAGACAGGTTAAATATTATCTTGATGCATTTATTTCTCCCCGAAAGTGAGTTTTCCTTAGGCAGCTGGTATGATCATTAAAATATTTTAGAAAACAGTTCCTGAGAAGTCACTGGGTGGAAGAGTAAGGTGCTTTCCCTGGAAGGCCAGAGCTGGAAGGGATGGCAGTAGGACTCACAGCCTGTGTGTTCTGTGGACCGCAAGGAAGGACAGACCAGAGCCCCAGTTTCTGACTTCTGGCACAGACCTGTGGGAGCTGTGTGGGAAGATCTGCCTTATGTCTACCCTCAAGTACTTCTGCTGCTGGCGGTCTTGCTTCCTTCTTTTTTGGTATGTAATCAATAATAACAGTTGTTAAATCACTAAATGCTATCCTCACTGACTTGGACTGACAGTGTTAAGGTTTGTGCCAGTTACGACATTGGAAACAGCTTTGGGTGTCATCAGCATGCCGTGCTCTGAAGGAGGTCACTTTCCTGTCATCCGGGTGGGAGAGGGTCAGCCCCCAGAGGTGGGTCAGACACTGCCTTTGGAACTCCAGAGGAGGTCAGGACTACCAAGGTCACCAGCTACTTAGATGCTGTGGTCAGGAACACAAGCCAGCGCCCTCTCCTCCAGCTTGGAGCCTCCCAGGTCCCCCAGCCTGAGACAGCAAAGACTTGCAGAGGCTTTGTTCAGAGGAGACCGTGGAGCCACTTTGGAGGTTTGGTTTTTTTGGTTTTTTTTTTTTTTTTGGCAGTACTGGGGTTTGAACTCATAGCTTTGCACTGCTAGGCAGGCATAGCTATTGCTTGAGCCACACCTCTAGTCTGATTTCAGAAGTTAAAAAAATCCTAGGCATTGTGGAATATAAAACACTTTGTGAGGTGAAGGACTCAGCACCTGTGTAATGCTGGGTATATGGGGACACTCAGGAAATGATGAAGGAAGGAAGGAGGGAGGGAGGAAGGACAAGCAGGAGGGAGGGATGAGGGACGGGGAGGGAGGGAAAGGAGGGGAGGGGAGAGAAGAAGGAAGGAGGGAGAGGGAGAAGAGAGATGGAGGGGGAGGGAGAGGGAAGGAAAAAGGAAGAATGAGTGGGAGGAAAGAAAGAAAGAGGCAAGGAGTCGGGTTGATGTTTTCCTGACTTTTTAAGTGATTCTTGTTCACAAGTTCACAGTTTTCTTTACACGCATTCTGTATGTAACTGGCCCTGTTCCTTGCGTTCAGTCCTTCTCTCCCCCATTCAGCAAGTACCCATCTGGTCCACTGGTACCCTCAGGTGCCATTTTAATCTTGCCACCAAGAGAAAGCACAGGGCCGGCCAGCCTGTGGTCACAGCCATGGAGGAGGTGGGACCCTCCAAGGCTGTGGTGGCCACTGCAGCCTGAGCAGCCAGAGCAGCTGCTGGCAGACCCACGCCACATGCAAGTGACGCCAACAGTGCTGGGTTAATGCGCCTGTGCACCGTGTGACTCTGATGTAACGCCAGGGAGGCAGGGCTGTTCCCATCCCTGTCTCACAGAGGAAAGGGGATATCCAGAGGATGCCTGATCTCGCTGGAATTGTTTGCTTTCATTCCTCCTCTAAGTAGAGTGCTTGCCTAGTAAGTGCAAGGCCCTGAGTTCAAACCCCCATACAGCCAAAAAAATTCATTCCTCTTCCACATAAACTTCCCCAATGAACTAGGACTATACTTGTCTCGAGAGCTTAGCGGGGGACCTTGGGGAGGTTGACATCCCAGAACAGTGATCTTGATCCTTTCGCAGTGGTTTAGGGAGCCAGGGCCTAAACCACTGACTTAGGGACTAACTGTCCTGCTTTCCTAGGGACTGAGGGGTGTCCAGATGGAGGACTTCCCACGCAAAGCAGGACAGTCCCTCCAGGTAGCTCAGGGGCTGCAGACATCTCAGAAAGACCTCTGCATTCCCTTCTACCCTGCCTGGCCGCCGCCTCCAGGCTGATGTGGCACAGGCCGGTCCAGGGAATCTGCGTCTTCCTCCCATCTCACATGTCAAGGTCAGTCATAAGTCCACTGATCCTGAAGAATGTGGCCTGAAGGCTAAGCTCGCTTGACCCTCTTAGGCTGGGGCCTGGAGTTCATTGGAGGCTGAAATATTTATGGAAAGTAATGAGGGCTAATTTTAGAAGCCATTAGTTTGCTATTTTCAAACTTGTGCTATAAGGATATGCTAATTTAAGAAGAGAGTGTTAATGGGCCCCAACTCCCACACCCCAGTCCCTCTTAGTAGCAGCTGCTGCAGGCATCAGGTAATAAATTCATCTTCCCAGGGACTACTTTTCCACTTTGGCACCAGTCAATGGAAAAACAGCCTTAACTGAACGCATTGCCCTGGAAACCCAGCAAAACTCTTCCCCAGGCCGCAGAAGGGTCAGCGTGGGAGGGCTCCTTGCATAGGAAGGTGCTTCCCAGGCCTGGCCTCAGGTGGAAGGCTGACTTTGCTGTCACCTATAGGCCTTTCCCTGCAGACTCCTTAGTGTGAAAACATTTGCTAGAGAGACCTGGGTTCAAAACAAATGTGGTTCCAAGCATCAACTTCTGAAAGTTGTCTCATTGGGCTGGGTGGGTGGGGCACCTAACAAGGTATCCTGTTCCAGGGATGAATAAATGTGCGTCTTGCTCTTGGGCTTACGGGGCCCAGAAATCACCATCCTGGGAGGGCAGGAAACGGCCCCTCTGCACTGGGAGCCGGGTAGGGGAGGGTTCCCACTGAGTGCTTCTTGCAACTGAGCCTTTGCAGACCATCATAAATATCAAAGATATTTGAGAAAAACTGGGTGACTGTAAGGTTTTAAGTGGTTCCTAACAGGCAACTGTACATGGCCACCTTCCTAAGCAAGGTCTCAGGTGAAGCATCTTCTAAGCTCACTTGGCTCAAGGTATCCCTCTTGACTTGAAGTAAAATGATTTTGGTGGAATTACGCTTAGTCCCTTGAAAGTTGAGGCAATGGTGAGATGGGATTGATTTAAAAAAAAAAAAGATAATTTGAGGGCAAGGAGTGGTAGTTCACTCGTGTAATCCCAGCTATACACGAGGTGGGGATTGGGAGGATCACAGTTTGAGGCCAGCCTGGGAAAAAAATTAGCAAGATCCCATCTCAATGAATAAACCGGGAGTGGTGGCATGAGCTTGTCATCCCAGCTATGTGTGAGGCTGTAGATAGGAGGTCCAGGCCAGCCTCAGGCAAAAACATGAAACATGACAGGCACCGGTAGTGTATGCCTGTCATCCCAAGCCATTTGGGAGGCTGAGATTGGAAGGATCTCAATTCCAGGCCAGCACAGACAAAAAAATTTGTGAGACCCCATTTCAACAGAAAAAGCTGGGCATGGCAGCGTGCACTTGTGGCCCTTCATGCAGAAGCATGAAGCAGAAGGTCCATGGTCCAGGCCAGCCCAGGCATACAGCAAGACTCATCTCCAAAATAACCCTAGCAAAAAGCACTGGAGGCGTGGCTCAAGGGGTAGACCACCTGCCTAGCAAGCACAAAGCCCTGAGTTCAAATGCCATATCACCAAAATTTTTTTCAAAATAAAAAGTAGAGAATTTGATTTTCAGAGGGGCGGGTGAACATCCGTAAGAGTCCTCTCAGGATGTCTGACTTGTCCTCCACCAAGTGTGAGAAAATCCCTGGGCTGCAGAGTAACGTGAAAACCTGTGTAGGGCAGTGGGGAAAATCCCCAGACCTGCCCTGGGCCCTTAACCAGCATCTGGTTTTCTGAGCACCAGCTCTGAAGGGTGAGAGCTTTTTCCATAGAAACTTTTATGTCGTCTCCTTCCTCTGTAGTCTGTGAGCTACATTTTCTTTATTTTAAGGAAAGAACTTTTAAGAAAGTAGTCATCTTTGATGCATGGTGGGTTTCTCTCATTTTGCTCTCCTGCCAGGCTGTCTGGACCCCGCGTGTTGCTTCTTCAGTTTTCTCAACAAATTCAACATCACTTCTGTGGCCAGGAGGGATCACAGGGCCAGGACTAAGGGACAGATATACTACATGCCAGGGCTTGCGTCTGCCCTCTGCCATGGTCCTTTCTCCCACTCTGTGGGGCTGTGCTCAGGTCTCCCCTGCCATGTGGGCTTCTTGGATGGTTGCAGATGGGGGCTGGGAAGACATTTGTGTCCCATGCCCTCCCTGTCGCTCAGAAGTCCCCCCTTTAGCATTTGTCCTCTGTTCCTCGCACTTGGCTCTTTGGTCCTTTCCCTGCCATGGTGCAGAAGGAAGGGTCATTCCTGGAGCAGGTCATCCATGGGAAAGTGGAGTGAACCAGGCACATTGGAAGTTCCTTTACCCAGATCCACCTCGCCTCCCAGGCACGGCCATCCAGGTGAAGACCTGCACAGTTTGGCCCAGAGCCTTAGTTCGTTTTGGACTGCTGTGTAGTCGGAATGGATTTAGAGCTGTTGGGAAGGAGCCATCACAAAGCTGTGTCTCTCAACTGCTCCTAACAACATGTTGGGTCCATTACAGAGTTGGCCTGAATCTGCTTTTAACTTTAATGGTGAGAAAATGAGCCATTAAGAGTGCAGAGCTGCATTCAGCAATTTAAGAAAATGTCTGGTTCCAAACCCTGTAATGTTCTCTTTCTTTCTTGGCAGCACTGGGGTTTGAACTCCAAGTCTTATACTTGCTAGGCAGGTGCTCTGCTACTTGAGCCATTCCACCAGCCTTTTTTGTGATGAATTTTTCAATATAGGGTCTCAAACTATTTGCCCAGGCTGGCTTTGAACTGCCATCCTCCTGGTCTCTGCCTCCTGAGTAGCTAGGATTATAGGCGTGAGCCACTACACCCCTGTATGTTCTCCCTGCCCCTCACCCACTGCCTCTTTGTTGTTGTTTAGCTGTCTCCTGAAGACTGGAATTTGGGAACAAAGACTAACTAGAGGG